ACACACAGTTATTTCTATCAAAACAATTGTCAAGAAACGTGCGGAATAAATAGCACAGACAAGAGAATATTAAAGTCATATACTATATGAACGCCAAATCGTATGAATCAAAATGATTTATGATTTAAAACACATGTAGTGTGATGAAAAATAAAACCTCCACAAAAGTGTGCTTAACATTTCGAATAATTACAAAACAAATAAACAATATCTAGGAATTAAGAATTCAGTCTTTTCATCGTCTTTTGAGAAAGGAAGTGACTTCAAACAGTAGGTCTATATATAGAAACACGGGAAATCACAGAAACAGATATGTTGCATTTTGACAACAATTTTTAATATAAGACACAACAGAGAAGATGATTAATACTGTTTTTATACATAAAAGATCATTAAAAGACATCCACGTCAAAAGTGAGTAGATCTCAAACGGCCTACCTTGTTTTCTTTACACCACGTGTGTTTAATAAAAGTAGCACAGATATTCATTTAAAAAATATGCAAGAGTAACGCGTAATTTTAATGTGTAATTTACAGTATTTTCCTCTTTTATTGATAAACAAATAATATCAATTTCCAAATTTTAACTGGCGCAATATAGCGTGTATACTTTTAAGTAATTTCCTCACATCAGTATCGAACAATATATGAACTCCACTCAATCGTAAGTATGCGCGCCACATAACTTCCGCACTAAAGAAATATAGAATTGACTCCTCGCAGTTTTTATAATTGAAGTGACTGTGGGGACTCAAATGTAATTATTATATCTCATATGAATAATTACAAGTTAAAAGAATCTGATTGGCGGAGGCAGTAACGTGACCGTCGTGTTCGCCCTGCATCGTCTTTTACGATTGTGACTTCACAATGCAACGACTGATACACAGGTAAAATTGCAGCGTATGTTCAACTTTTGTTGAACACACGTTTAACATATGTTCGCCATAAAAAAACGAGCCACATATGATTAACATATTATGTTTTTAAACATATGTTGATTATACGTTTATCATATGTTATTCATATTTTTGCATGATCTTATGATCAACATACGTTGATGTTCATATGTTTTGTAAAAATATATTACCATACCTTATTCGTAAGCTTTATTCCCATGTGAATCACACATGATATTCATTTAAAAAAAATGCGTTTAAACTCCGATTTCTTGTATTTCTTTACATGAATTCTCGTTACATTTCACTTTCAATATGCTACTACATGATCAACACTTTTGACGTCACAGGTTTGGTATTTAACCCCTGTGATAACTTCAAGGACCCCCAAAAGTCAAAAATCCGTTTTTATAATGTCTTTGCAAATTTTGATTCATTTTTACAACCTCAATCTTAGATATCGAAATCAAGATTGAATTCTTTTACACAATTTAAATCAGACTTCTGAAGTTGCGCGCCACATATTACTCTTCGCGGATCTTAAAAGTCTGATTTTAATTAAATTGATTTTTATGCTGTCTATGCTTATAACGGTTGTGCAATTAGTCAATTGAATGAAACATGTGGGGATAACAAACATTATTCGAGCTTAAAAGTCCATTAAAAGTCACAAAATAGTATCAAAGCAAACACTGACCTCAAAAACATCAGGATTGGGATCAGGTGACATTGAATAATAAGCTTTCCTTGCCAACCTGTCACATACGGCGTGTGCTTATTGTAATGCTCAGAAAAAAGGAGAATCGGTCGACAATGCATTTTATAAATGATGGTCTAGCAATCAGTACAAAAAAAATGTGAGTCATTTCATTTAATTATAGATAATATTTTCTGACACATGAACACATAATTTAAAACTGCATAAAATACGACCTTGAAAATATATTTACATGTACTACATACATTATCAAACAAAAACAGAATTTGCATGTTTCAAAATAACTTATGCCACATTTATTGCATGAATTTAAAATGTTTAACTCAATTGTAAATCGTGCTGTGGTTGTCGATATTAACTTAGAGAAACAATTTTGCACAACAGATATATTTTCAACATTCCTTCATTCTTCCTTTTTGAACAAAAGGGAATGCATTATCCCGAATAACAAATAGTAAGCAATGCATTATATAAAACAAAGCACTATAAAAGAAATCAAGCAAACAAAATGAATACAAAATAAATACATGTACACACATTTTCAATTTCAAAAAAGAAAAGAAAAAAGAAATCAATGATATATCGACAAATGTAAAACATGTGTCTAAAGAAAGAAATGTTTCTGTGACGTGATTTTTTATTTCGTAGAATCAATGAATTGATAGACAGGGGCTTAAAAGACACATGCCGTCAAGATCTGTACATATTAAGGAATATTTGATATATACCCCCCCCCCCCCCCCGAACATAAAATCTTTATACAATTAAAAGAATTGGTCCAAACGAATTTCGATTAATCAACAGAATATAACTGTATGTTGTAAACATAACAGTTCGAACTCATGTGTCGCCTGTATAGAGTTAAAAAAATTATTTAAATAAAGCCCTTTAATTACACCAAAATAAATAATCATTACTCGTCTCACAAAATAAATTTTAATATTACTGAAATACACTGGAATGTTTTAGCTTTATATCAAATAACAGACTGCTCCATGTCGCTTTCAAGAACAAAAAGCTTTATGTAGCTGCAAGCCTTTGCTCTCTTGAAACAGGACGTTTCATTAGACTGATTTTTTTAAAGCTTACACCTTTAAATAGTCGTAGTTCAATAAAATAAAGAAATCCATATGACATGAAAAAGTAAGTTAACTTAATAAATTAATGTAAATACGTATACTTTTCATTCAAAAGAACATTTTTTGTGTTTTCTTACAAAAAAGAATTATTCTTCCGTATAAAAATATTATTAAATATGAACAATAACACAAACTTTCTTTTAAGTACAATAGCTCCATCTCGCTTTTACATACGAAGTTTCCATCTAAAAACTCAGTTGTCACAGAAAATTTGAAGATTAATAGTACGGCAGTAATCACTAAAATTTAAATAAAAAAAGATCAATCCACACAAATTTTTAAAAGCAATAAATATCTGTGAACCAATCATAAAACACGATTCCCAGGCACTCCAGGAGTAGACTCAGGTGCCCAAAATGAGAAAACATACCCTTTTGATCGGTCATACTTGCAATGTTTTTTTCCGAGGATAGAGGCAACGTTCCTTTGTCAAATTAAGTACAAAACAGCCTATCACTTGGTATAAACCTGTCTGTTAAACCCATTCATGAAAGGTTATATTTGCTAACAATGCAATTAAAAAATATAATATAATTTGCCGAACATTCGAACATGAAACAGAAGTAACAGATTTTGTGGTGTCTTCGATTTCAGATTCACTAGGAAATAGCAAGTCGACATATAAATGAAAATATATATTGATACCTGTAATTGATAATACAAATTATTTAAAATCTGTATGATAGTATCCAACTCATTTTTGCAAGCTCTAATCAAAGCTAAAGTTTTTTTAAGCTCCATATCTCAAAAATAATGTGAACGCACTTGGTATTGAGAAACCACTGAATCCATCTTCAGAATAAAACCTCAGCACCATACTGTAGTAAAAGTTCAGCAATACTGTCATGACCATATACATTTGCTATGTACAGTGGACTCTTATTGTCTGTATTGCATAAATTAATGCAAGTATCATTTCTTAATAATAATAATTCGACCGTGCTGTAATGTCCGTTTTCACAGGCTATGAAGAGTGGACTAGTTCCCACGTTGTCACATAAAATTGATATAGGACTTCGTTAAATAAAAGTTTAACCATACTGTCATCACCGTTGAGACATGCTAGGTACAATGGACTGCAGTGACCTTTATTGCATAAATTTAAATCAGCACCTGAATTTAATAGAAGTTCGATTGTGCTGCAACGTGAGTTTTCACAAGATATCCAAAGAGAACTGTTTCCATCTTTTTCACAAAAATTAATGCCAGCACCGTTGTTCAGTAACAAATGTGCAGTGCTATCATGTCCATTTTGACAAGCTACATATAGAGGACTGGCTTCATTCTTATCACGTAAATTGAAGTCGGCAACTGTAACAGTTGTTTGTTCAGTAACAGTTGTACTGTGCTTTCAAGTCCATTATGACAAACTATATAAAGAGGACTGGCTCCATTCTTATCACAAAAATTGAAGTCGAAATCGATTTTCAGTAACAATTCTACCGTGCTATCATGTCCATTATGCCAAGCTATAATAAAGAGGACTGGCTCCATAATAATCACATATATTGATGTCAACACCGTTGTTTAGTAACAGTTGTACCGTGCTATCATGTCCATTATAACAAGCTATATAAAGAGGACTGATTGCATCGTTATCACATAAATTGATGTTAGCACCATTGTTCAGTAACAATTGTACCGTGCTATCGTTTCCATTTTGACAAGCTATATGAAAAGGACTGGCTCCATTCTTGTTACATAAATTAATATAAGCACCGTTGTTCAGTAGCAGTTGTACTGTGCTATCATGTCCATTATAACAGGCTATACAAAGAGGACTGAATCCATTTTTATCACATAAATTAATGCCGGCACCGTTGTTCAATAACAGTTGTGCCGTGTTATCATGTCTATTATAACAAGCTATATAAAGAGGACTGGCTCCATTCTTGTTACAGAAATTGATGCCGGCACCGTTGTTCAGTAACAGTTGAACCGTGCTATCATGTCCCATTTGGCAAGCAATAGAAAGAGGACTAGCTCCATTCTCATAACATAAATTGATGTCGGCACCGTTGTTCAGTAACAGTTGTACTGTGGTATCATGTCCATTTTGACATGCTATATCAAGAGGACTGGCTCTGTCCATATCGCATAGATTGATGTCGGCGTCATTGTTCAGAAACACTTGTACTGTGCTTGCATATCCCTTTTGACAAGTAATCCACAGAGGAGGTTTTCCATCGTCGCCACATAAATTGACTTTGGCGCCACAGTTCAATAAGCAAGAAACAGTTTTACGTCTTTCTCCTTCTTTTGTCTCCTTTCCAGCTTCTCTTAAATGTTCTTCGTCATTTCCTGCTGCCAAAATTAACGGAGTCCAAATATTACCAGCACTTAACATATTGACGTCAGCACCGAGTATAATCATCTCTGGAATTATTTCATAGTTATGGAAGACTGAAGCAATGTGGATTGGATAAAATAACCCCCAAAGTTCTTCTATAGCCGCTTCTTTGTATTCTTGGCTAAGACTATGAAACAATTGCAATCCTCCATTAGCACACACGGCAGAAAAAACTAAAGGATCCTGCAATGCATTTTTGTCTATGCATCTTATAAAAGACAGAGAAATTTCATCATGACAAAGTACTATAAATCCAACTAAAGGACATATTGTACAAGCCCAGTCAAGAAAAGTAAGTCTTGATACGCTGAAATCACTAAACGGTTTTACAAACGCTGATTTATCTATTAAGACCACATTGATGCCTGAGAGAATGTTTGATAGATTTTTTAGTAATTTAATTTTGTGTTCAAAATCTCTTATCACACTTTTATTTCTTAAACATGGATTGAATAGAACATCTACAATATGTTCTGTTTGCATATCAACGATAAACCTATCCACAAGATCACCAATGTACTCTTCAGGAAGGTAAACAGTAAACGGATCGCGATTTTCCTCTTCTGTATCATCTACTATTCTCACACGACGTCTCAGAAAACCACTGTCTGCGTACTGTATTGTCTCTTTTGGACACTCGGCACCAAACACCAGAGTCGTTATCTCCATAATAAAGTCGTGAAGGAATTGGAAAGTTTGTCCGACACATTTCACATAAGATCCTGTAAGTTCTTGGAGAGTACTGCGGAAGGCCGATATACGTGTGCTTTCCGATAATTCACACATTTCGAGAATGTCTTTATATTTTTTCTTAGATTCATCATTCCTTTCAATTGTTTCAATTTTCAGATTGTTTTTAAAAGCTACAACTAAAATAAGAGTGCAGAATTTCTTCTTGTCTATTCTCTTGAAAATATCAATTTCTTGTTTAATGAACTTCTTCGGAAATTTAAAGAAGTCAAGTCCATTTTCCGTGTAATTTGGCCTAGAAAAAAGCTTACAAAGCAGTGGAAAATACGCTTCTGTTTTGATTATTTCAAAAACAATTTCCTCAGAAAGGTCTAGATTCTGTGTGTATTGATTGAGGATTGCTCTTTTCTCTACACCTGTCAGTCCATTTTCTTTGTTGTCTATTTCCACTATGGTGGATTCCTCGAATAAAATACCCTTTATTCTCTTGTCATAAAGAACACATCTTCTACAGGACAAAAGTAGTTTGACTTTCTTCAAGCAAGTCTCTATCGTTTTTTGATACTTTTTCCATAAAGTAAACAAAATTTCATCCAAAGATTCTTTACCTAAAGGATCGTTGAGTACAAAGAGGGTTTGATTTTCTGTCGAATACGAATATTTCTCTTTAATTTCTTTAACCTCATCGACTGGTACGACATAACTTCCCCGATCTTTATACTTGAGGGCAATATGTTGAATAATCGCCGATTTTCCAGATCCAGAATTTCCAACCACTATGACTAGGTTATGGCTTTTAAGCTTTTCTTCGACGATCCTACTTGCTTTTGTAGGAATAAAAGCAACGTTCTCTTTTTGCCAGACTTTGAGAATCTCATCTATCATTGGTATTCCTGAAATAAATTCAATGTCTTGACATTAATGAAAAAGTATATGCCAGATGATGGTGTATAGATGAGCTTTTATTCATGATTCTTAGCCGCTACGAGGTCAGTCTGTATTTCTTTTTTTAAAGGGGCCTGTACACAGATTCAACTGATTTTAATTTTTACAATTCTTACCTATCATCTATTGATTAGCAAACATTTGCACATTATATGTTTATTAAATAACAAGATACTGAACTTAACGTTTTTCATAATGTAAAAAAGGCTCTTGTCTTTCTTTTGTTTATATATAGAAAATAACATATTTATACAAAATGAATTTCAGCAAATCAATAGTAACTGCCGAATTGTATTTAAAATTAACTTTTATTTACTTTTATTTACTTTGAACGAAGATATATTAGTAAATTAACCCGCGTAAACAAAAAGCATGTCACTAGCCTTATTTACAAAAAAAAAATTGGACCTCAAAATCTGTCTTGTATCTTGACAACTAGCATTCAAATTTTTCATGATCATTAGAAAGACCCTAATCAAATATTTGTAAAAAGGAAAGATCAATTTAAGGGGTTCAAAGGGTTTTTCATTGCTCAATGCTTTGAACATCATAGTAAAATAAAGCGAATTTAGAGTATCTTTTTAAATGAAATTAATAAGATTTAAAAATTTTTAGAATGACAGGTTATGAAACCTGATTTTAATTCTAAATGTATATTACTGATTTGTAAAGCAATTTTTTCAAACGATGGGAAGATTGACAATGCAAAAGTATTTTTGTAACGGCAGGATAACTCATGTATTTTTTCCTTGGTGGGTTTCAAAAGCAACGGTATACTATATTAAGTCCTAAAATTTGACACATTTTGTGATTCACACAATTATCTTTCTAATTTTTGGTATGAATCCTTTGTATCTGTAAAATTTTGTCGTACTCCATAAAAAGATTTTGCTAATTTTGACATTTTGAGATACCCTCTCTGGAAATCGGTGGTAAAATTTTGTGTTTCTTACATATATTGTACAATATAATAATACTCATCATATATTATAGTTTGAGCAATAAAACCTCTTGTGCGTTTTGTATAATGTGCTTTTAAGAGCGATATGGGGTAATTGCACAATGCGACTTTAGAGATATACTGTAAACATTAAATCTGTAAAATTCATTTTGATTAAAAATGCGTAAGAAGTGTATTTTCATTTGAGGAAAAAATAATGCAGTCACTGTTTCATTAAATATAACATTTACACAGTAAAAAGTCTTTAGATCCCGGGATTCGGATTTTGAATTCATACCTAACAAATATGATTCCAAACAAGACATCCTTTCCATAAGATCTGTATTATTTTTGTAGTGGGCTTCAAGATTTTCGATTATAGCCTTTTCGTTTTCCTCTTCCAGGGCCTGACTTTGAATATTACTCAGTCCAGACAGGTAGTCTTTGTTTGTGTACGTTTGCAGTCTTTGGCAGACATCAGTTATTATTTGCCATGTGTCATCAAACTCTGTCTGTGAGGTAGACGCCGAACTTATGTGTCCAAACATGCTGTTTCGTATCATCCTTATCCTTTCAATGTCATCACCAATTGTTGTTTCTCCTACTGGCGGCATCGTGTTTCCACCCCAACCTTTAGTTGGTGGAGGAATCTTTGTGGATATGTTTCTTATCAGTGTATATAACAATGTAATATCAAATTCTTTATAACCATCTGTTTTGGCACCTCTAAGACGAAGTTCTTGCTCAGGGCGTATGTTTTTGTAAATTGATGATGCTTTCACTTTATTGTAGATAAGACCAGGAGGTACCTCCATTTCTAAGACATCTCGACAAGCCTGGTTTAATTCTTCGTTTATTGCCATCCCAAGTTTAGCAAACCTAGAACGGCCGCCAGGGTCTGGTCCAGAGGCCATATTCGGGTTTTTGCAGTTTAATTAACACTCTGAAATGACAATTCGACGTTTTATCGTTTTTTAAAATTAAATTAGACGATCTTATGATATTTTTGCAAAAGTTTTAATTTTTTAAGTAAGTTATATTTTTCAGCTTTAAAGCATGTCAGTATGTCTTTGTTTAATAGCCAGCCGCAAATAACAATATTCATTCATTTTCCTTATTACAACTGTGCAGCTTAAAATGGAAATGGTACACGTGAGTTCATGGAAAATACAGTTGAATTGATTTATTCCACAGTTGCTAGAGATCACACATTTTAAAGATATTCTGAAATAAATGGTATTCTTGAACGGTACCAATTTTATGTATCAGATGCACTTTTGGAAAAAAAATGTCTACTGATGCTCAGCCGACACGTTAGAAACCCGATATATTTAAATATTAAAATAAAAAAAAAACATTTCAAGAGCTCAGAAGGGGTGGGGGCTAAGCTGATGAAATTTATGTATAAGAGATATGCATTTATCAGCTTAATATTTTAATAAATATTCATATAATTTTTTTTTTTTTGATTTAAGAATATTTAAGGTCAAGATCTAGTAAATAACTTTAGACTATTTTTTTATGCTAGATCCATAATGACGTCATAATCAATTTCGACTTTCTTTTTCCCGTACTTTACGCCTTTAGCAGAAGTATGTATTGATTGATTGATTGTATACTGTTTAACATCCCTCTCCAGAATATTTCACTGATATGGAGACGTCACCATTGCCGGCGAAGGGCTGCAATTTTAGGCCTATGCTCGGCACTTACGGCTTTTGAGCAGGGAGGGATCTTTATCGTGCCACGCCTGCTGTGACAGACACGGGGCCTCGGTTAATATGGTCTCATCAGAAGGACCGCCCCATTTGGTCGCCTTTTACGACAAGCAAGGGGTACTGAGGACCTATTCTAACCTGGATCCCCACGGGACTAGCAGAATTATGTAGAAAATAGGGTATTTTCATGACATTCAATTTGAAATCATATGAAAAGTAAACCGGATAACTATATTAAATTTGATAATGATTGAAACATGAGGTCATGAACATACTAATTACCATTTTCTGAGAAACTGCAGGCAATCTGGAAAAATTTCTTTTGTCGAATATGAAAAAAAAAACCATATTCATGACTGGTTTTCTAAATTTTTCAGTGAAAATGACAGTTTAAAATAGTTTTTCATCTTGTTTACCAACAAATTATGCACCAAAACACCTTATTTGACCAAGCTAAAGTTTTAAAGCATCAACAAAGGAATTTATTTTTCAGGTTTGATAAATCTGTAGGCACCTTTCATTTACTAGATCTTGACCGTAATGAACATGAATTTCCAAAAAAAACTTTCGGTATTTTAATAATTTGTGTGATTGGTAAGTATTGGATGCTCTCTCCTCTATGGCACCTGATCCCAACTCTGATTTTTGGAGATCCGTATTTGCTCTGCTCCTATTTTCTAAAATTGTTTAATGGACTTTGATATAGAATACTCCTTCTTGTAAATCTATTCTATATCTTCCTTTATGAGTAAAAAAATCCGTTTTTCTTCCTTTATTTCAAGGTCAAAAACACAAAATAGGTGCAGGGTTTACGCGGACGTCCAAACTATTAAATGTTGGATCACGCGCCGACCAATCACGCTGCTGTATTTTCTTTATCGTGTTTGGGGACAAATGGAAAATGTGTAGACAATTTTGTTAAATCAGCATGCACATAATGATCTACAAATGAATATGAAAAACATCTGTCAGCATTTGACTCAAGGCTAGATTGTCTCTGTTGACAAGGGCCTTACCGACCAAAGAAATTTCTAAATGACGAGTTAAATTAAGACTGATGGTATTCATTTTTCATGAATTTGTTTGTCAAAAGATTACCTCGATTCCTCGTCAGGAACGTAACGGAAGACCCTATTGTTTTCGTTCGTTTTTCCCCCTATTATTATTATTATTCTTCCAACCGATTTTGTGCACGCAATTTCTCAGAAACGGCTCGGTCGATTTACATGAAATTTTCATATGTAATAGATCATCCATTAATCTTGATAGATTTTTGAGCGTTTTTATGACGTCACCTCCGGCCGAGAGATATGGATATACCTTAACTTATATATATATCAAACTTATTTGTCTTAACTTAGTAGCGAAAACTGCTTAAAATATGAACAGGAGACAATTGGAGATGATAGTTCATGACTTATAGGGTTGCAGAATCGCCTTTTTGTGCGTCGTCAATACTTCCGGTCGATACTGGAAGCAAATTTAAAAAACGTTATTTTTTAACTTTTTTTTTTTTTAATATTTTTGTTTTGAATTGAATAGAGACCCTTTTGCAGAAGCGAAATATGTAATTTGTTTGAAAATCGAATGAGCCAATCTCGAGATATTTGCATTTGAAAACGCGAAGCGGCGATCCCAATGGCTAAATGGTTAGCGCGTTGGATTGTCACGCGGGCGACCCGGGTTCGATCCCCAGTGTGACCAAAAAATTTTATCATTTTTTTCCGCTCGAGTTTTCGATATCTTGTTATTTTAGACCATTTGGAATAATATATTGTCAATTTTTAAGCATATCTTGAGTAATTAAGGGTCACAAGGGGCCAGAATTCCAAATCTTTGACCCTTTATATTTCGAAAAGGGGGAATATTTTGATAAGAAATATTGAACAAAAGATGGTCAGAATAATGTTGTAATCAATATGCATACTTTGAATTTTTGTAAAACTGTCCCATTAAGGACTTCTGGGAGTGGCCCCTAAATATTTCCATTAAGCATATCTCCACAACGAATAGAAATCTATGAATAAGTGTTGAACAAAAAATCTTTAAAATCATAAGACCTTTTATTTGATATCAAGAAAATGGGTCTGACCCCTCAAATTAGGGGCTTAGAAGGGACAAAAGTCTTCTATCTATAACTCTCTAAAAATCATTTTTTTTGTTTACATTACTGAAGCAAAAGTATTTATCTTAACTATTTGCAACAATATATGACAAAATTTTGATGATATGTTACGTAATTAGTGGTCTCAAGGGACCAGAATGTCAAATCTTTGACGCTGTATATCTCGAAAATGGGGGAATAATTTGATAAGAAATATTAAACAAAAGATGGCCAGACTTTGAAGTTTTGTAAAACGGCCCCTATAAGGACTTGTAGAAGTGTCCCCTAAATATTTCCATTTAGCATATCTCCATAAGAAATAGAAATCTCTGAATACGTGTTGAACGAAAAATCTTCAAAATTACAAGACGTTACATTTGATATCAAGAAAATGGGGCTCACCCCTCACATTAGGGGCTCAGAGGGTCCAAGAGTATTTCATCTATAACTCTCTAATGATCAATATTTCGTTATAGATTACTGGGGCAAAAGTATTCATTTTAACGATTTCAAACAATATATGAAAACAATTTAATCATATTTTTCGTAATTAGGGATTGCAAGGGAACAAAATGCTATATTTTTATAAGCCTCATTAAACAAAAGATGTTCAGAATATCTTGATAAAAATTTGAAACTTTAAAGCCATATATGGCATAACTGATCAAAAATATATATTTTTGAAAAATACAAAATTGAGTAAAAGAAATATAGTCGATACATTTAAATTAAAAATTTTCATACAATTCAGGAAACGGAGAAGACATCGTTTCAACTAATAATACGATTTTATCTTCTCTGTAATGTGTTATTTAAATCTTTTGTATTTTCTTACAAGTCGGAAAAAATTCCAAGAATCCAAATTAATTTATGATATCTTTATAACACAATTGACTTAGATTTTGTAATTTACGGAAAAGTTCAATCTTTATTTAAAGTAATGATACAAATAATAAGTTCTTATAATTTTCGTCTAATAATTTTCATTGTACATACGCCATAAATGGCTTCAAATATAATGTAGGAAAACTTAATGTCGTTCTCTTTTAACGAATATCTCAGTCAAAATCACATCTCATCTTATCGAGAAATTCAACGGAAGACCTACCCGTTGCTTGCAAGGAGATCTCATCTAGTTATTATTATTATTATTATCATTATTATTTGAATTAGTAACATAACATCCTTTATGTAGGTACATGTATATTTGCCTCTGCTCCAAAGGTTACACTACTCACATATTATTGCAACATTATTTTTGTTAAACTGTTAAAGCTGTCCTCCTTCAACCATGCGATTGGAATACCACAGTAAATACGTGTTGTTTATGTAAAATACGATACAGACGTATTTATGTAACCCGAATAAATATGAAAAATCGGCCATTCTCTCAGTGATATTATTTTTGCAATTAGATCATCTTGGGTCTTTCGTCAGATGTCGGAAAAACAATCTCAATATAATTTAGATGATGTCTAGACAGTCTGTAGATGGAGCCAAATCTTCGCTACAAATGAGATAGCCTCACATTAAATACCTTTTAAAGTACTAAAGACTATCCAGGCGGTGTGAATCAATTAGCAAAATAAATATAAAGTAGTTAGAGTTTGACGTTTACAACTTTGGCAAAGAAAACATCTAAATACATTTACTTACGCAAAGATAGTTTTCATTAAATCATTTAGCCATTCTTTTACATATTCAAAGTATTTATTAACAACAAAAACTCCATTATTGTAGATTCTTTCATTTTGAGGAAAAAAATGTAAATAAAGTGTTCAATAAATTTATGTCAGGCTACATGCTTTAAGCTGTGTAGAATTTTGCATTTTTACACAAGTTAGCAATTCACTTAGATTTCATTATTTGAACAAAGGATCATCTAACCAAAAAAAGACACAACACACTTTATTGTTTATTGTAAACAATGTACTTAAATACGGAAAGAAATACGACCAAGCTCTATTTAGTATCAACTTAAACACGGAAAGTTTTGTTACAACAAAAGACTTTGAATAATAGTATAAAACTTCCGGAAATTCATTTTTTTATGACAGTCGTTTCTGACAAGGAAGAAAATAAATTTAATTTC